CAAAACCCTAAACCCTAAATCCCAAACCCTTAAACCCTAGCCCCAAAACCCCAAAACCCCAAAACCCAAAACCCCAAAACCCTAAACCCCTAAACCCCTAAACCGTAAACCCCAAAACCCTAAAACCCTAAACCCTAAACCCCCAAATCCTAAACCCCTAAACCCCAAAGCCATAAACCCCAAAACCCCAAACCCCCAAACCCCTAAACACAAACCCCAAAACCCCAAAACCCCACACCCTAAACCCCAAAACCCTAAACCCCTAAACCCTAAACCCCAAAACCCTAAACCCCTTACCCCCAAACCCCTAAACCCTACACCCTAAGCCCTAAACCCCAAAGCCCTAAACCCTAAGCCCCTAAACCGCTTCTGCAGGAGGCTGGGGCTTGCGATCTTCCTGGGCAGATAGACCAGGAAGTGATCCTCGGATGGTATATAGTAATTATAGGGGCCTTAAGAATTAGAATAGGGTTTTGTGGGTTCTTTATAACTATAGTATAATATACTCTCAAACCTTATTCTAGCTATTAAGGCCTCTACGTTAGGATTCACGGCTTAGTGAATTGCAGTCCCTGCTCAAAAAATATGGTTTAGGATCAAGGGTTTAGGGTCTATAGGGGAGTCTAGAATCTATACTGTGCAATGAAGGAAACCCTAAATTACAACCCTAAGCCCTAAACTTCATGCTGCATTTCATGGTTTGGTCTTGGGTGAGGCCGTTGAGGGCTAAATGCACGACGGGACCTGCATGGGTATACAGTTTAATATACTATCCCTTACGGCTTAGGGTGTAGGCTGGTTAGGTTACATTGAGGTGTCACGCTTAGCCTGAAATTTCCCCCTGGTACATGTGACACCCTAAACCCTAAACCTCCACCATGGGTTAAGGATTTCGGTTACGCTCGCAAGTATTCAGCCCTCAAGTCCCCGGTTGCACCTGTAATATAGGGGCCTTAATAAATAGAATATAATAGAATAGGGTTTGGGGGGTTCCTTATTATAAGTATAATATACCCCACAACCCTATTCTAATTATTAAGGCCCCTACACTACATCTTAAGCGTCTTCCCACGTAGGGCGCCTGATATGCACGCTCGGCCTTAGGAAATGAACCTTTAGGCCCTTTCAATCCAGAAATGCGGCCTGTGATATTGGGCCTAATTTAGTCCCCCAATTCCTGTTCAAAAGCCCTAGAGCCTCTTAACTTGAGGACTTCTGTGTTAGGTTAAGTGAAAGCCACCGAGCGACTGAGGACGATGCAAGCCGAGTGGAGTGGAGATGGCTCTGCTCTTCGCTTACTTCTAAGGTTAGAAGTATGGGCCCCTAATATGGACCCTTAGGCCTTTCTGGGTACATACAGGGTATATAGTAGGTGTATAAGGATCCCAGGGTTAAAGGCCCATACTGGGGGCCCATGGTTTCAACCTGTGTTCTGTCGTTGAGAACATCTGTTGACGCGATTTCTGTGGTGTTTGACAGGGGTTCAGTGTTTTTCTGTTCTTTGAAGTAAGGGTTTGCTAGTGGGTCCAGTAAGACCTACAAGGTTAAAGGTTAAAGGTTGTAACCCTAGAATGGCGGGGTCATATCCACCCCATGTTTGGGCTTGGGCCTAAACCCAAAACCGGGGTTTCAACGCTAAAGGCGTTCGTACGGAGGTTGTAGGGCTCCAGACGGGAGGGTTGCTAAGGGGTTTAGGGTGGGGTTCAGGGCTGGGCGTTGCGGCTGTCGCAGAGTTCAATTATTCAGAGCGCCTGTCTCGGCACTCTGTGCGTCTGTGACGGCACGGTTCACGTTTTGGGCTTTCAAGTCTTGTGATGTTCCACCGAGTTGACATGGCGCGGATGTATTCGGGCTACTCCAGTGATTCATCATGCCGTCATTTAGGCAATCAGGTTTCTGTTGTGGCGATAGTCAACATGTGGGTGCCTCGCACCTACGATGTGCCTCCAGCTTCGGCATGTGGCTTATGTGTTCAGACGCTTTGAGAAACTCCGTGGCAATAGTTAGATTAATCCCGCTGTACCCTAAACCATCCTAGGCCCTTTACCGTTCAGAGTTAAGGCTTCTTATATGCATACCGCTCCATCCTAGTCTAGTAATTATTCCGCAGTCTACAAAGAGCCTCATGAAGAAGTCACAGCCTGGAGCCTTGAACCCTGCTACCTGAACTTTCTTAACTTTCCCCAAAAAAAAACCTATACAACCCTTGTACAAGCTTGTTACAGCCCTCACGACAAGCATAGAACCTTCATCCAACCCTACCCTAAACCCTAGACGACCCTCCGAAACCCTGCACCCTGCAAGCCCGAAGCTCCGCTAAATTAAGCCCCATGTAATCCTGCGAGAAACCCCAGGCCCTGCACCCTAAACCCCTAAGCCCTAAACCCCTAAACCCTAAACCCCTAAACCCTCAAACCCTACAGCCCGAAACCCTGCACCCCTAAAACCCTAAACCCCTAAACTTCAGCCCAGGATGTTTGCCTACGTGTGCCGGACGACCCACTGCCCGAAGTGATCAAAGTTGAGGTTCGGCGCTTCGGCGGCAGCCGGCTTTATTTAGGGGTTTAGGGTGTTAGGGGTTTAGGGATTTAGGGTTTATGGTTAAGAGTTTATGGCTTTGGGCTTTATTTATATGTAGGGGCCTAAATAATTACCAATACTTGTT